TCTCCAGTCTGGACAAATAAGGTTGTGTGCTGTGATACCGAGGAGCACAGTTTCATATGTTTCGAATGCGTTAGGTATTTGTTTCCCTTCTCAAAGTGGATGTTTGTATGTAGACTGAAAACATGACTATTGAACCTCAAGTTAAAATTGTGAATGTTCTAACTTGTTTTATTTGTTTTGTAAGAATTACTGATGTTATTTTTAAAACTGCACACTTTCAGGACACCAAAAAGTTTAATTATGTATAATTTTGTAAAGTATAGTAGAATAACTTAAAGAAAACAAACCTTTAAACTATTTGTTCATTATTGAACTACAAGAGCTGGCTAATGCCGCAACTTCTGAGATGGGAGCATAGTGCAGCTGCAGACTTTTTGTACAACTCTATGCATGACATATCTGTAGAGGTGTTGAACTTAAAAACTGTTGTCATCTTTGGTCAGAGGAGCAGGCCACTTTGCAAATATGTCAAAATAATTAAAAAAATTATAATTGATTTATGTTCTGTTTTAGATTATCCTAAACCAGACAATTGGAATTTTCCCATTTCTCTTCCTTTTGTTTTTCTTCATTTGTTTCCTTCAGTTTCTCAAACATTTTAGTGTAAGTACAGATAAAGCCACTTCATGCGTTAACACAGAATAATAAACTACAAGAGCTGGCTACTGCCGCAACAATTTTGATTACACCATTTAATGCTTCCACGCACTAATTACTTCAGCACTTCAATGCTGAATGTGTAAAGAAAGGGACTTTCAATTGGTGTTTGTTTTTTACTTACTACTTCCATGTCTCTCACACTGTACGTACTGTATATCTGTTTTTTAAGACAAGTACTATGCATATAATGTGTCTTTGACTGTACGGTGCAATGATATGCTCTGTCAGATGTCACATGCAGGGTGGCTGGATGACGAGGGCTGTATGTAGCTGACTGATTCTGATTTATTTTTATTTACTGGACATTTAAAACTAAGATCCACTCTCCAGCTCTCCACTGTAGAGGACTGCAACAAGAAACGCACATGCAGTTTCACCCAATCATTATAGCCAAAAATCTTTTAATGCCCATGATTTAGTCAGAAAATGAATTGTGTTTGTGTTTTACTGTGAAGTGTCAACTAATTTAAGCATGCTTTATACACATTTATGACATAATTTGCATTCTGATATATTGTAAATTACTAAACGTATAGTTATCTAAGATGAGTAAAAAAGACAGGTACCTGTCCTTGGGTGTGATTATTTTTCCCTGCTTGACCAACAGGAGTGACCCGAAGGGCAGCTTCAGTCCAATGCAGGGTGACAGTGCAAGCCACCAAAAGCTGTATGATAAATACTTTATGCATACAATATTAAAACTTGTAGTTCTTATCGGATGGGCCAGACTAAGTGATTAACCTTTATTGTCACATGGGTTTGCATTCTATAGTGTAATTATTTTATTTAGAGCTTCGGGGGCGCTCGTCCCTTAAATGCATGCCAACATACTGAACACATACCATTATATTGTCATAGCATGAAAAATGAAAAGTCCTTGACAACAAAATGGGACCTTTAAATTGATTATTCTATACATACTGTATCTTGTTCATAATTTGAATAAAATATTATTGCCTTTCTGTAATGTTTTTGGTCTGAATGTGATTAGGGTTTGTGTTTACAGTCCTAGAAACAGACCACTAGTGGGCGCTGTTTACCATAACATTGGTGAGGCTGTAGACTGCTCTTATGAATATCACACTTTGTTCCTCTCTGTGACAGATTTTCCACCTCTTACATAATCTTCCAGCTTCTTTAAATTTAATGCTCTTAAACATGTCACTCCATACAGATTATTTGGGGCATTTTGACCAGATTTCCCAGTTAGCTTGAAACAACTGTTTGTTTCATTTGAGGGCAAAAGTCAATTCCTTGGCGGCTTAACCTGCAGTTCCTATAATAGCCAGTACATGTTGCTCTTAAGGAAAAGGCTGACAAAAAAGACGTGTTGGACCTCATTATGAGTCAGACTTTAGCCAACGAGGTATGGATTTCTCTCCATCTTAAATGTCTAAAAAATAAAGAGCATCTCATTGAAATGTCAGCTCTTCAGAAATGCTGAAGAAGTGACATTTTACATTTTCCTTCATAGGAATAATACAACAACTGCATTACATCTTAGTTTTATCAGTGTCCATTTAGAAAATGTTTCAAGATTTTTGGGATTAAATGTCAGAAGTACTTAATAAATCCATCAATCATATACCAATAATTAATATATAGTATATAGAAACTCAATGTTTAAGATGCCTGTGAAATACACTCAGTTATGATATTTGCATTTCAGTTAATAAGCATAATGTTGATTGAAACTTGTGCCCGGTGGCCTCCATCTGTCACACTATCTGGTTTTGTAGAATATGTCAGCATAGAAGAGTTTGACCTTTGGTCTCTCCACACTTCAGTGGTTTCACACGTCTTGGGATACAAAGTGTTACACTGACCTCTTGTGCTAATTACTTAACATTACAGCTCCTCTGTCCTTGTGAAAAAGTTTGATCATTTTCCAGCTGATTTTAAAGATGACATTTTTTCATGTGTCAAGTAAATGTCATGACAAACTGTAGTGCAGGAGGTTTTTAGGTTAAAGGTTAAAGCTATTGTTTCATTCTAATATAAATATTATATTAATATCAAATTAATATAAATTAAAAACACCAAATACTTCACCCGAATACGGGACAAAATTATTCCTTTTTTAATCATAAAAATTGCTCTTTGTCATATAAGGACAGTCAGAGAAACAGCCATCTCAGACATCAGTGTGAAGAGCTGTACAACAAAGACAGCATAACAAGTGCTTCAGCCACCCTACATACCGTACAGCCATGAACACCAAAACATCAGCATGAAAACACCCAAAGGGCAGGTCTGGAAATGATCAAGCCTGTCACAAAGTCAGATCACTGCAGAACAATATAATGTTTGTCATATAAGATAAAGTATAAACAGTTCAGAGACTAGTTCCGGTCTTGAACTGACGTGTTATGCCCCCTGCTGCCAAAATAAAACCTTACATCAGCAAATGAGAAGTGCTGGTTGTGACTGAATCAGAGCCGTTCCTCATCTTGCTTCCTCATTGTTGACTTACTGGAGGTGGCCAAAGATAAGAAAACTAAATGCAGGCAGTCAAAGGACTTGCTCAGGATTCTATAAAACTGCATGCTTAGACCTACTTCTACAGGTAAAATGGTTTAGTTCAGCATCTAAGATGTCAGTGAACTAGTTTTCTCACTTAAGGCTGCCTGCGATCTCTGGCTGACAAAGATCATAACACTGAATGTTTAAGGAGTTGAACAAATAGAATAAATAGTAAAAGAACCCTTCAATTACAGCAGAATGAAACTAGATAAACTTGCTGCCTGTGCAGCACTTGAAAAGATTTAAAAGTGTGAATATACTACAAAAATGTCTTTAACCCTATAAAACCATTTGTATCCTATTTGATACGTGAGGTTTCTGAGCAAAAAAATCGCCAAAAATGCCCCATGTATCAAATGTGATACAAAAGAAATAGAAATAATCTAAATAATATGGCACCTCTATTCCTATATGCCTGGACTGTCTGTCTATGCATATATGGCAAATAAAAAATAAAAATTGTGAATCTTTTGTTAATCTTGAATTTTGAATCATGAATTATATTTTGGATTTTGTTAAAAGGTTTAATAAACATCTCAGTTCCAGAAAATTAGAATGTTCTGGCTATTTTTTGATGTGTTTGGCTTAATAATTAAAAAAAAATAAAACTCAAATAGGGTAGTTGACATCGGACATGAACATTAAAGATACTTTTTTTTTAAGAATATTGCTCTGGTAGCAGCAACTGAAAGAAAATTAATAATGTAAAGCATCATTTCTTAGTCAGACTTTGTCCCACATTTGAATAAAAAAAAGTATTTCTTAATGTAATGTTTCTATAGCAAAGCTACATTTGGAGATCAAAATAAAGTATGTGCTGTTTTTAGTAAATATAAACCCCTTTTACAAAATATGTATGTAAATATCAAAGGTTTTGAAAGACAGGCTGTTGAATAACTTTCAGGTGGTTGTTTGTAGGACTGTACTGTAGTTATGATTTACATAATACACGTCAAAGGGCAGCTAACAGTGAACAAGGTGTTGACAGATGTAGGGTTCTGGAGGCAGTTTGCCTAAATCTGAACCATATTTGAAATACTAATCCAAATCTGATCCACTGGAGTATGGTGATGTGATATAATAGTGCACATTATAATGAACTGTACGAGTAAAAAAACAAAACCTAGTGCTTGATTTGTGTACAGTGCTCTTTCAATCCACAGGTTCATGTTTTCTACATGGACTAAAAGAGCATATTAAAGGCTGATTGAATATTTAGAAAATATTATGCATTGATGGCAATATTTGTGGTCATTTTACAACCATTTGAGTTTTGTAGTTGTTCTTAATCTATTTGTAGTTGTTATGTGCATGGATATGTTTTTTTCTCCTGCTACAGCTTGAGACCAGGACAACACCTGGCAGAAGAGTCGACTCTGCTGAGCACCACTGACTTCAGTATGTTGTGGCTGTTTTCATTTGTGCGGTACTGCATATCACTGCTTGCTGGTGCTGCTTTGCCAGATCTGCTTGTTTGTCGATATTTTGGACCTGCTTGACTTGCTGATAATTCTGACTTTGGTGCGCTATCATGGCTCAGCTGTTTGTTGGCGCTTACATGTTGCTGATATGCTTATACATTGTGGAAAAACTTCATATTACTGTGTGTTTGAGTACAGTTTGTTATTGGGTCTTGATTGTTGCGTTGAAGGATCTTGTACACAGTTTATACATTTTTACAAAGTAAATTGTGACTGTTTCCATTAATTCAGCATTATAGTGAAGACTCAAATGGATTTATCACATTTTAGGTGACTTCTTCACACTCCTCACATTCAGCTGAGCATTAGAGAATAGTTCA